AATGTTGTAAGTCACTGTGAGACCCTTTGAGTGAGTGGCGACTTTAAAAAGCGAATAAATAAATAAATAAGACTGTCAATATTAACTTTAAGGCCCTCCTCTCATGCTGTCCAGTCCACCAGCGAAGTTTCTCCTCTCAAGACCAGTTCTCTGTGCCCTACCTTCAGAGGTGTGATGGGAGGCGACCGGGGGACAGGGCTTTTTCCAGGTATCTTGCCTGTGGAATACCTGTCTCCTCAAGGCTTGCTCTCTTCTTTAAGTACTAGGCCAAAGTGTTTCCTTTTACTGAGGGCTTTAATTAAGGGGTTGATCTTCAAAAATGGTTTTTACGCGTTACTTCTAGCCTGTTTTGGGCTCGGTTTTTGTTGTGAGGATAAAATTGAGAAGAGGAGAATGATGGGTTGACATAGAGGAGAAAGGTGGGATATAAATTAAGTAAATAAATACCTTTGTGCTGTTTTTATGCTCTGATTGGGCTAGGGGGTTGGGGCACCTCCCCTATGAGGAAAGGTTGAAGAATCTGGGATTTTTCAGTTTAGAAAAGAGACGACTAAGGGGGGACATGATAGAGGTTTATGAAATTATGCATTGGGTGGAGACAGTTGACAAAGAGGACATTTTCTCCCTCTCCCCGAATCCTAGAACTCGAGGGCATCCAATGAAGCTGATGGGCAGTAGGTTCAGGGTGGACAAAAGGAAATACTGCTTTACACAGCAAGTGTAGAATTTGTTGTAATTTGTCATTAAAATGTAGAATTTGTTGACAGAAGACGTAGTGATAGCCACAGAAACGAACAGCTTTAAAAGGAGATTAGATAGATTCATAGAAGATAAGTCTATCAGTGGCTACTAGCCATGCTGACTGAGGGGAACCTCCACATTCAGAGGCACTAATACTTTGAATCCCAGAGCCAGGAGGCAACATTAGGGGAAGGCCTTGGCCTCTAATGTCTTGTTGTTGGCCGTCCAGAGGAACTGGTTGGACACTGTGTAAGACATGATTGGTGTAATCCAGCAGAGGTCTTCTTATATTCTTAGTGCTGCGTTTTTAAGAGTTTATTAATTTTAATGACTTTATGCTGTTGTATGTTATCCCATTTTCACTTTGTAAGCTGCCTAAAGCAGGTTTGTCTGGAGAGGCAGCACAGAATTTTCTCAAATAAACAAACAACTTATCTATTTTTTGTACTACTCTGTGTGTGTGTGTGTGTGGTGTGTTTGTTTTTAACTATTAGGTCATACTGCCGTCTTAAGCCTGCAAACCGCCTCAGGCAAATTTATTTGGAAAGGCAGTATGCAAAAGTTTGAAATGAATACAATTAAATAAATATGCCCCCTCCTGGCTCCACGACTGGGTTCATTCTTCCTGCCCTGGCTTTTCTTCAGGAGATAGTACGGAGAGTGAGAGAGCTGAGAATCATGTTCTTTGCTCCTGATTGTGAATGGGGAGAGAGGGAATGGAATGCGGGTGAGAGCTGGACCAGACCAGTCACCGCTGTGAGCCCAAAGGGGTTTGAAGGTTTCAGTTCATTTGTAATTATATTTTATTTTGTACTAGTATTTTATAAAACAAAGGTTGAGTTCAGTGGCACCTTTAAGACCAACAAAGTTTAATTCTGGGTATAAGGTTTCGTGTGCATGCACACTTCTTCAGATACATCGAAACAGACTGGGGTTTTTTTGGTGTTTTTCTCATATGTGCATGTGCGTGTGCGCGCGAGTGTGCACCTGGAAGTCATGGCAACCTCTGGTGACTGTCCCCTACTGGGGGCCTGGAGGATACTTAGAGAGGAATAAAGCCTGCCCCCACCTCCCGCCTCTGGTATTCCAAGGAGGTCTCCCATCCAAGTACTTGACAGAGTCAACCCTGCGTAGCTTCCGAGATCAGATGAGATGGGGCTTGCCTGGGCTATCCAGGTCAGGGCGAAACAGACTATTTCAATGTATCTGAAGAAGTGTTCCTTCACATGAAAGCTTATACCCAGAATTAAACTTTGTTATCTTAAAGGTGCCACTGGACTCAAACTTTGTTCTACTGCTTCAGACCAACACAGCTACCCACCTGAATTTATATTTCATAAGGGAGCTTTTTCGTCGTCCCCCTCCCCATGTCAGTGTATCACTGCCTACTAGGATTACAACAGAGCAGACTGAAACTGAATCCATCGAAGATGGAGGCCCTGTACCTGGGTCGCGGGGGACCGGGATTGGGGACTGGGCTTCCAACCTTTGATGGGACCCTACTGGTGCCAGCATCAAAGGTGAAGAGCCTGGGGGTATTCCTGGATGCCTCATTAAATATGGAGGCCCAGTTCGCCGCCACTGCCAGGCCTGCCTTTTTCCATCTGAGACAGATCAGGCAGTTGGCCCCATATCTCGCCCCCCGGGATCTGGCTACAGTGACCCATGCAATGGTCACTTCCAGACTAGATTATTGTAATTCTCTCTACATGGGGCTACCCTTCACTCTGCTCCGGAAACTGAAGCTGGTGCAGAACGCAGTGGCACGGGTATTGGTGTCGCTGCCTGTGTGGGCCCACATCCACCCGGTGCTCATTGAGTACCGGATCCGTTTCAAGGTGTTGGTGCTTACCTTTAAAGCCCTATACGGTCAGGGGCCCGCATATCTGCGAAACCGCCTCTCCCTCTATGAGCCCTGAACGGTTTTACGATCTACCAATCAACACCTTCTGTTGGTCCCTGGCCCCAGGGACGTCCGTCTCGCCTCGACTAGGGCCAGGGCCTTTTCAGCCCTGGCCCCTGCCTGGTAGAATGAGTTCCCATATGAGATCAGGGCCCTGCGGGTGTCACGACAGGGCCAGTGGGGCAAGGCAGAGAGGGGGAGTTCACAGTCCAGTCCAAGAGTCAAGCCAGAAGAGCGCAATACAATCAGAGCAAAAGTCCCAATACACAAAGCCAAGCCGTAGTCAGAGCGTTACCGAGAGTCAGAGTCCAGATAGGCAAGCATTGAAGTCAGGGTGCAGAGCCGAAGATCAAGAGCCAGGGGGTCGTCAAAACGCGGACTGGAGTCAGAAACCAGGAAGTCAGTCAGTAGCTGGATACCAGGAACAGAATCAGGTGCAGAGCTTCTTGTCTGAAGGACGGGTTTGCCAGCACGATTTGCCAGCATTCAGCAACCTATTCAAATAGCTCGCTGGGTTGTACACTCGTAGGTGCCTCATTAGCACTGCCTCGTAAAGTCCTCGATCCTCCTAGAACTCCGGGCTTATTGATCTCCAACCACGCAAGCGTGCCTCTTTGCGTCTGGTTGCCAAGTCCCGGCGTCTCCGATCCCTCAGTCGGTCGACAGGTGGCGGAGAATCGGGTGGCGTGCTGCTGGGGCCAGGCACTGCCTGATCGGTTTCAGGTTCAGGCTGTTCTGGAGGCTGGTGCTCATCCTTTCCGGCACTTAGGTTTGACAAAGACTCCCGTGCCTCTGATGGTGTTAAAGGCACGGAGTCCTCCGTTTCAGAGCTCCCAGGCGCTGGGTCGGGGGCAGGCATGACAGCGGGACCTTTTACAGTCCCGCAGGGCCTGCAAGATGGAGCTATTCTGCCAGGCTTTTAATTAGCGTGACGGACGTCACTCCCTCTTTTCTGGGTCTCCCCTCAGTGGGTCAGAACTGCTTACCAGAGATTTATTTATTTATTTATCATTCAATTTATATTCCATTCGAACCCCGAAGGGTCTCTGAGCGGCTTACACACAATTCGGTTCCTAACTAGGGCCACAATTATAGGGGGGAGTGACGTCCTACCAGCACCCGGCAGCAAGGCTTGTTGTCGCTGTCTGGCTCCTTCCGCGGGCTCTGATGTTGGCGTTCCACCTCCAATGTCCTGGGGCAGATCTCTTCCGGTCCGGCAGCTTTCTCCAGCGGGCTCATCTGGTGTACGGCCCCGCGACCGCCGCAGCGCCGACCATCCTCCCTTTGGCTCCGTCGCGCTGCACCGGCACGCCACTGCACCTCCGTGACTCCGCCTCTGCCGCTCGACGCTGTGCTCACAGGGCACTCCTCAGACGCTCCTCTTCCGCTCCGCTGCCCCATTGCCGCTGCCGCCAATGCCTCCGCTGCGCATCCCACCAGAGGAGGGTACCCCCTGCCACCTAGGGCAGGTACCCATTTATCTACTTGCTGGATATTAATGCTTTCGAACCGCTGGGTGGGCATCTGTGAGACTTAATTCTAATGACAACTGCACTGGCTGAAGGATATAGTTGTTTTATTAGTGTTTTAATTGCATTTGTACCAATTCCTTTGTATTTGATATACTGTATTTTTATTAAATCTGATGCAACCCGTCCTGAGCCTGCCATGCAGGGAGGGCAGAATATAAGTCAAATAAAATAAATAAAATAAATATGAATGGATGGGAGTCTCCTCTGCACCATTTATGGGACAGGTCCAGGAAGAGGCATGTCTATGAGGTTTTTGCTCATTCCTTTCAGTGTGGCCTCATCAGATGGCGGCAGAGGCAAAAGCAGAGGGTTTTTGTCCTTCTGGTGTACTCTTTCGATGTGTTGTCTGATAATGGGAAATGCATATGTGTTCACGTCTCTCTAGCTTGTGGCTGGGATTTTTAGTTGTTATGGCTGTTAATTATTTTTAAATGCATGAGCTTTTATTTTTGTTGTGGATTTTTGTTACTGTGAGGCATCTTGTGACTCTATATGAGATTAGAGTGTTGGGCCAATTCCTTTTGAATAAATATAGTATTTGTATTGTTGTAATTCTGCTCTTTAGGATTATTGTTAGCTGCCTCGTATATCTGTTAACACAGAAAGGAAACACACACATTTCCCAAAAAAACTAAATGAAAAGTAAGCACACATACGGGTCTTGTCCCCATTAGCAACAGGCCACACAGAGCTTACCTTCAGCGGAAGGGATTGACCTGACGGACGAAGCTGCCGATCTTTTCATCCCAGAGAGACTATATGGTCCTTTTTTGGTCAGGTCCGTCGGTGGAGATGCATTCTCCGGACCAGTGATGGAGGCAACGCTCTGACAGTCAGACTCTACGTCCGTTTTCGCTGCATCCTCCTTCGAGGATGATTCGGGACTCGTGGTCCAAAGGCCCAAATTCTTCTGCCCATTGGAAGAAGGGGATGAGGCGATCCAAGGAACTCCTCCTGCTTTCTCCCTGGGTTGGGGAGACGTGGATTTGGTGGTGCTGTTTTGTTCTGAGGAGTGAGAGGAGAGTGATTCAATGCTGCCCATGGGAGTGCTATCTGGACTGCTACTGTATGAGTCACCTGGAAGGGTTGGAAGAAAACAAGCCCATTTTTCAAAAGGGACATTACACTTTACTTATTTACTTATAATTCATTACTTATCATTTATTAACCTCCTTTCTCCCTTGTGGAAGGCAAGGCAGCTCAGAAATATGAATACACAATATAAATAAAACAATGATACAAAACACAGTAAAAGCAATCTAAATAAAACAGTGATGATAAAAAAACACACACAAAAGGTCCCAATTCTTCTGGTTACTAGGGGCTACACCTCCTGTTCATGGACCAAAGCACTCTGCATGGACAGTGCTCGTTTTCATTAAGACCCAATATTTTGTAATTCTATAAAAGTTCAAGAGAAGCCATATAAATTAGCATCTGCTACTGAACCCAGGAGGACCCTGTGGATCTCCACTTTAATTCTCAAACAGCCCTTCAGGTCAGGGTTATTTGCAAAGGCAAGAGTTCCAACCATGATGGTTCTGAAGCTAGGCCATGTGCATTGTACTTAAGAATCTTAAGATCCCACCCTTTGCCATAGAGTTTAAGTTGGCTTGCAAATGAATACAAGAAAACCCCCACATAACCCCACATAATCCCGTCCCCCACCCCTGGGGAGGAGAGTCCAGGGGTTGATTTCCCACTAGCGCTGCTCCGGGCTCACTCTTCCCTTTTGCCTCGATGGTAGGTGTCAATTTCACACAAGCTGCTGCGGGCTGCATTTTGCCTCGCAGCTTCGTGCGATTTTCCCCGCGTCTACTCAATCCTCAAAAAACAGGCTTGAGTAAACGCGGGGAAAATCGCACGAAGCTGCGAGGCAAAATGCGGCTGCACAGCAACTTGTGTGAAATTGACACCTACCATCGAGGCAAAAGGGAAGAGTGAGCCCGGAGCAGTGCTAGTGGGAAATCACCCCAGGTGAAATCTCTAAAACCAGGAAAACAGTTGACTCAAGACTTCCGGGGGCCAAGGGCTGGAGCTTCAGGAGGCTAATTAGCTCATTAACCACCTCTTGTTTAATAGAAACAGGTCTGCAAACAAAAGGAAATGTCTGCAGGCTTCCCCCCCAAGGAGATTTATTTTCCAAGCACCAAGGACAATGCAGCTGTGATCTCCATGCTCTAATAAAGAAAGCACTGAAATGGGATGTCACCGTTGTACAAGAATTGCTTGAAACCAACAGTTCACGTGCTAGATATGGATGGATCTTTCCACTCAAACCTCTAATATGCACAGTGCCATCATGTGATGCAATCATACATCCTTGGATGGGAACTTGCTGACAGCTATTTTGGCTTGGTGGGTTCCACTGCTGCGGAGACAGATTTTTATGTGTTGGATGAATTCTCCCGACTTCCTTAAGTAAACAAAGCCAGCCCTATGGGCTGGAGGAAACCCAGATGATTTTTTTGGGGGGTGGGTGTCCAAATCTCAGTAAAAACTCAGAACCTTGCAAGTTACAACGCTGGATCTGCCCCACAGAACACGACGTGCCAGCAGCAATGAAAGCTGAGATTGGTACTGTTATCACAAAAAACAAGGGCATCCGCCTTCCGCTACTATCCAAGTAACTGCCAAGAGCAAGGAATGAGAATATGCTGGTGGGTTAAACACCACTTACTGTCTGGGTCCGCAAGGCATGGGGTGTAGCGTCCTCTGGGCTTGCGAGGGCCTGTGGAGAGGCAGATCGCTCTTGTCCTCCTTGACCCTGATCGGGACTGAGGCTGTGGAAGGGGGATGTTGGGATCCGGGGCCGTGTGAAATATCTGCCAGTGACAAGCAAAGAAGACTTCTATCATTCAGAATTTTTTATAGGATTTGTATTTTTTACACTTCCCCCTTTAGGGTAAGAGTGCATGTATGACCTAGGATCTCTCAAGAGATTTCATGGGTTTGAGCCTATTCTCTTTATCAGTATACCACACCAATTCTCTCCGAAAACAACTGGGCGAGACACACACACACTCGCACAAAGGAAAACTAAAACTAAGCGAAACTGGCTCCACGCAAGGAAATAGGTCTTTAAATCCTACAATTCAACACCAGAGGGTAGGTTTATAGCAGAAAGGGGAAAAATAACCCCACAGTTGTCCTCTCCCAGAAGGCCTATTTCAATGCCTAGCAGTCAATCAATCTAGCCACAGCCTGGCTGCAAGAATGTGTTCCTTTCCAAAACTGAAGCTGGTAGCCAAAAGCAATTGCCTTGAGCAATTAACACCTAGGACAGGGCATGGAAACAGACGCTATGCAAAAATCGAGAATTAAAGGATGAACAAGCACTCTGGTGGTTTACGAAAGAAAGAAAATTAAATGCTGTGTAATAGGGAATATTGCTAATATTATCATAGGTGAAACGGTTAGTATTAATAATTCGTTCACTCCAGTGAACAGGGCTGAGACTCCCAGACAGCTCTCTCTGCCTGCTGGCGGCTACCAAGACTCATACTATACATGGTACTAATTGCACAATCACTACTAAAAAGAGCAGTCACATTTTCCTCTCAATCACATCCGATGATACTTATGAATATCATGGCACTCTGTTTATCTGCCAGCCAATGAAAGAAGATAGGGGAGGGGGAACACTGAAATGTTACCGCATTATGACATGGGGCTTGGGGTGGGTGCCAACAGTGTGGTTGCCTTTTTGTTAGCAGAGATGTGATTAGCCTCGTGTCTAGATTGTGCCTCCATCTGTATTTCAACTATTCCTAAGTAGCGTTAGGGCAAAATGATACAGGAACTTAGTTTCTATAAGAGAACCAGTAAGCGGTTAAAGTGGCATCGTAGCTTATTGTGTGACTGTCACGGCTCAGGTGGGGTGTCACCTGACGCTGCCACCACTCTGGATTTAGGTTCCCTTGAGAAGGCCCAGAGTACCCTCCCAAGACCTTCAGACCTCCCTTTTGGCCGAATAATAGGTGTGAGGACGAGGCAGAGTGAAACAAGAAAAAGATTTATTTTATAGGAAGTCAAACAACAAGGTGCAGAATAATAACAGTAAGTGGGTGAAAAGAAATCAAATGCCCTAATGCGTCTAAATATACTTTCCCTAGCTCACTATCTCAAGTGGCCTTACACTACTCATCCTGTCCTCAGGATGAGGGTCTCTCCCCTGCAGCAGCCTTCCTTTCGGCTCTGCCCTCTGGAAGAAAGAACAGCTCTTCCTGCTGCTCCAGAACTTTTATTCCCAGCCCTTCTCTTTTCCTATTGAACAATTTTGGCTCCAAAACCTCCCAGGGGCTTCTGGGAATTGTAGGCCCAGCCTCACCTACTGCTAGCCAGGCTCTCTGGGCCTAGTAGGCCTCTGGTAGCACAGCCCAGATCATGACAGTGACCTTCGATCACTTCCTTTCTATCTCTCAGACTGTCAGCTGACAAAGTGGTGGTGAAGATAAAATACCAGAAAGGGGTCCCTATATACTGCCTTGAGCTCTTTGCAAGTAAATAATAGGATAGGTATGCAATAGGTAGTTGGCAGGGATTTACTGTTAAGCCAGGAGTATTTGTTAGTGGTTTTTTTTAAAAAAACATTGACTATTTTATTTCAAATATCTAACCCCCGCTCCCGGCGAAGATACACTTAGCAAAACTATAGGTATGCCTTAGAGGATAGGCAGGGATTTACTGTTAAGGCAGGAGTATTTGTTAGTGTTTAACATATCAAAGGACTCTCTGGGATTTTCGATAGTATGGTGTAACCCACATTTTATAGAGAGGCAGATTATAGTCAAAAGATCATAGAATCACAGAGTTGGAAGGAGCCATAGAGGCCATCTAGTCCAACCCCCTGCTCAATGCCGGATCAGCCTAGAGCATCCCTGACAAGTGTTTGTCCAGCCACTGCTTAGGGACTGCCAGTAAGGGGGATCTCACCACCTCCCGAGGCAGCTGATCCCACTGTTGAACTACTCTTACTGTAAAAAAAAAAATCCTAATATCCAGGTGGTACCTTCCTGCCCTTAATTTAAACCCATTCTTGCAAGCCCTCTCCTCTGCGGCCAACAGGAACAGCTCCCTGCCCTCCTCTAAGTGACAGCCCTTCAAATACTTAAGGATAGCAATCGTGTCCCTCCACAACGTCCTCTTCTCCATCCTTGGGGAGGGGCTGCGGCTCTGTGGAGGAGCATCTGCTTTGCATGCAGAAGTTCCCTAGTTCAGTCCCCAGCATCTCCAGGTAAAGGATCTGGAAGTAGGGGATGTGAAAGACCTAGGCTTCCCAAGTCCCCCCGGGGGGCGGGAAAACCCCTGCCCCAGAGGCCCGTTCCCCACCGCCGCCGGATCAGGCCCCAGGGGGAACCCCACCCCGCCGTGCGCGTCACCAGGAAGTGACGTTATGATGCCGGGCACACTGGGGGCCGGACCACGGTTATCCGAGGGAAAACTCTATGGTCCACGGACCGGGAGACCCCCGGTAAGTAGATTTTTCGACTTGGCAACCCTAGAAAGACCTGAGATACTGGAGAGTCACTTCCAGTCTGAGCAGACTATACTCAATTTGATGGACTGATAGTCTGACTCAGTATAAGGCAGCTTCGTGTGCTCATGCGATCCTCTCGAGCCCGGTTGCTACGTGAGCTGTGGGAGATGAGTACTGAA